GAGAGTCGTTCATATGTTTTTTTTTGCAAACTCCAAGCAGGCTCTCATGTGTTTTGAGAGGCTTCTGTTTAGCCACTTTGCCATAAAGGCCAGATGGAGGGTGGAGGGATGCAGTGATGGTTGTTCTTCTGAACTTTGTCCCATCTCCACACAGGATCTCTGTAACTCACTCAGCGTGACCATCGGGTTCTTGGTCACATCTCTTCCATTTGAGAATTATGAAGGCCACTGTGCCCTTGGGAACCTTCAGTTCAGCAGATATTTTTTTGTAGCCTTCCCCAGATCTGTGTCTCTGAGCTCGGCAGGCAGTTCCTTTGACCTCATGGCTTTTGCTCTGATACAGTATGCATCGTCAGCTGGGGGGGCCTTCTATAGAGAGGTGTGTGTCCTTCCAAATCATGTCCAATCAATTTAATTTACCACCGGTGGACTCCAATCAAGGTGTAGAAAAATCTCAGCAACCATCAAGAGAAATGGGAGGCACCTGAACGTAATGTCAAGTGTTGCAAAGGGTCTGAATACTTATACCATTGTGATATTTCATTTTTTTCTTTTTAATAAATTCACAAACATTTCTAAAATTCTGTTTTCACATGTCATTATGGGGTACCAAGTGTAGAATAATGAGGGGAAAAAAAGAATTTAAACAACTGTATCAGGCTGCAACATAACAAAAAAGTGAAGAAAGTCTGAAATTATATATATATATTAGATCTAGATATATAGATCTATATATTTTTTGGAATATTTATTACACACGCAGAAAGAAAAAGGGATAAAAGCACACATTTCCAGGGAGAGAATAGACCAGAGGGGTAAAGTACTCAGTGTCTGTTCCACTAGTCCAAATACTTAGAGGGGAATTTATCAAAACTGGAGCAGATAGAATCTGAAGCTGTTGCCCAGGGTAACCAATCCGCATTTTTTTTTCATCATCAAAGCTTAAGTGATCAAACTGAAGAGATAAGCTGATTGGTTGCCATAGGCAACTGCTCCAGACTATGTCTGCTCCAATTTTGATAAATTCCCCTACAGTATTCACTGTGTATGAAATTTAGGCAGATATAGTAGACACAATTTAATGCAGCGTTGTATTTTACACATTAAATGTATTTTAAAATAAAAAGCTCATGAAGAGAAACAAAACAACAAGCTGTTCAGTAAATGACTAACTTTTACTAACAGCGAGGAAATGCAATGTGCGCTCAAGTGTACACATACACAGGCATGTCTCGCCCACCCTATTTGAAATACATAAACCAGAGCAGAGCCAGGCAGGCAGGAAACATGGGCAGTAGAAACTCAGCTCTGTAGCCTACTTGTAAAGCTTTCAAGTGCTAAAGGAAATAATACACTTAAGACATTCAATGCAACGAGTGGGACATAAGTTTTACTTGAAAACTTATGTCCCACTCGTAGTAATTCAGTAATTATAAGAATATCAGATGACAATCATGTTGAAGACGGTGCACAAAATGTACCAAAACAATACGTTGTCTAGTAATAGTTGTTGACTGACTGTCACGTTGTGTCTTTGTTATAATGTATTTTAACTTAATGCAATGTTCTAATCACTTCTGTCGGATTTATTTTGTTTTTTAACTTAATTTTAAAAGGTTTGAAGAAAAAAAAAAATCACATTTAAAGCTTAGTTACTTCACTTTACAAAATATACATTTACAAGCACTAAAGTTGCAATTTATGTCCATGTTAAAGGGTATCTATGGTCAAAAACTAAAAATAAATCTGTATCTCTATATTGAATTTACATAAGTTCTAGCCCACCCCTAATAACATATCAATCTAGAAGTTTGTAAACTTGCTTATAGAACATGCCCATAGGATGTACTTCTTTCGTTTTTCACTCTACCTTGTGAATATGCACTTCCTTGTGCCAGAGGGATGCTCGAATCATATCGGTGTTTTGTTTTTCTAAACATTTAGCCCTGCTGCGGGCTACAAGACTGCTACCCGTCCCCCGCTGCCAAGAGGAACTGGGCCAAGATCACTGGCCTGTCCCTCACCTAGGTCAGCAGCTGGTTCAAGACCCAGAGGCAGAAGGATCGCAACCTATCCGAGGCGCAGTCCAAGAGGTGAACAAGACGGCCGCAACCCCCCATCCCCACACACTGCTCTACACTACTGTTTTTCGCTCTGCCATTGTTGCTGCTGCTGCTGCAAAATCGCTGCGGACTAGACTTTTTCCGCATGTTTTCCAGGCGGAGTCAATAATTTACTGATAGAGGATGAAAGGCTCACTGTGTTCTGAAACCTGATTCTGGGCTCAGGTTTTATTCAGATGATGAAAGGAGATAGACTCATTGTGTGCTGGGGAGTAGAGCTGCAGCTAACGATTATTTTCAAAATCGATTAGTTAGCCGATTATTAAGTTCGATTAATCGGATAACATAAAATAAATTTTAAAAAATGGATCCAGTGATGGGACTACTAGTTTGTATTAAGATTGTAGTCCGTCACAGGAGCAAGCTTGGAGCGGTGGAAGTAAAAAAAAAAAAAAAAAAAGTGTGGTGTACAATATAGTGAAATGAAGAAGTATAACATTATAGAGCAATGAATGCAGAATGGCACCGGCTATAGAGGACTAGAAAACCCAGCAATAGTACATTATACAGCACAATGCAGAATACCACCAGCTGGTGGTATTCTGCATTGCGCTAGGCGGGTCTGGCAGCGGCGTGCATGAGGTGGGGAGGAGGTGTGGAGCTGTGAACAGGGCCAACTAATTGGAAGCCGATTAATCGATGATTGAAAAAGTCGACAACTTTTTAAATAATCGATTATAATCGATCATGTAGATTAGTTGTTGCAGCCCTACCGGGGAGCTCCGATTGTCGGTGTGGTTGTGGCTGACATGCTGGTGAGTTCCGCAGGGGGTGGGCAGTGGTTTGTTGGATTTAAGTCAGTTGGTGAGATTTGTGCCTTTGAATGTGATAAATAGATTTTGTTTGCTTAGATCAGTGGTGTCCAAGCTGCAGCCCATGTGCTAGATGCAGGCCTATGCTTTGCCCTCATTCACACTGTAAATCAGCCCGCACATACAGCTTCGTGCAAGGCCCGGGAAGGACAGGTGCTGCGTGTGATTAGTACCTACGCGGCCGTACGCTCCCCTTTGCTCACCTCAAGTGCAGGTGCGTAGGAGTGCGTGTTTCCTCGCTCGAACGCAGGCAGTCCCATAGAGAAGAACGGTGACTGTGTACTAATCACACGCAGCACCTGTCCTTCCAGGGAGCTGTTTGGTACGGCCCTGCACGCAGCACGGAGCTGTACTTGCGGCCCGATTACAGTGTGAATGAGGGCTTAATGTTTGTTGATTGCATTAAAGTATTTTTAGGTCTGTCATCTCAGGAGTTGCTATCAATAAATACCTTATTTAAATACGGTTTTGGTTAAAATTATAGAGAATACCCTTGCAGTGAGGTCCCCTGCACTGTTGCCTGCTTGTTAAATATAGGGACAGTGGAAAAGGATGTAATACTGATCTTATTCCACATTCGCCCAGCATACTGTACTGTGACCACTGGCCAGACAGCCCTAGAGAAAAGACTTTGGGGGACCAGTTGCATTGTGTGGTGGGAGCTTGCAGGAGTAATTAATGAGCCCATTATTACAGCTTATTCCCCTACCCCCAGATTTAACGGGCATGTATCTCCCTTGCAGTGCAAGTGGGGAGAGGGGGGTCCCACTGCAAGAGTGTCCCCCAATTAGGGATTAAAGAAAAATACTGCAAGTTTTTGGGTTTTTTTTTTTTAAATCCCAGAGTTCAACTTTAAACCTCTGCCCCCGCTTTCTGTGTCTCATCATGAAGATTTTCCTTCCCTTTCTGTCCTGTAGCCACAACAGGAAGTGAGGTGAATCCTTTTTCAAACAGTTGTCACTAGAACAAGTTTCCCTACTGGCAGATTTCCCCTTGATTCCACTTGTGGTGACAACTTTGATCAGTGATAGTTGTCAGCACGACAAATAGAGGGATTAATCCCCCCCAGCTAGGATGCTAACAATACAAATTTGGCAAGCTTTCTAACCCCTTACCTCTCAATCCAAAATCTACAAAAAAATTGGATTTAGATAAACTAACATTTTCCAAGTCTTGTGTGTAAAAAATATCATAAAAATATGTGCTAACAAATGCAGTCAACCACCCTCAGCCAGAGGAATGACATAGTCTTCATATACAGCATGATAAGCAGATCAGGTTTAATCTGCTGCGAGTATGGGCATCTGTTTATACAGATGGAGATTTTCTGAAAAGGGTTCCAGTTACTACTAACCTTAGCGGTGTTAATGTAAGCATGTCGGCTTATCTAAACCTGAGACTCCACAGGCACTTGAAAATCACCCAGGGGTAACCCGTTTACAATTTCTGGTACTTTTATCCGCTAAACTACCTAGCAATATTTTCGTTCATTTTAAGTGTCAACAATGATTACATAGAAAGTAAATGTACAGATGGGGCAAGGAATGTGTTTAATGTGCACAACAGTCTCCTCACCTCATGAACAACGCACAACTTCAGGTCTATTACTTCACTTCAGGCAATATCTGGAATATACTTCTGATTTATTTTCCTTTATAGATGTCTAATTACAAGAGGCATGTGTATTCTTAGTTGGCGTGCTTTGTGTATTTCTGTTTAGTAATCTAGCATGAAACTTTGCCTCTGTGTAGGAGTTTCCTGTAATAAAGACCAGTCATTGCTGCTCTCTCTCCTTGTGCAGGGGGACTGGTCTTGTATTTGCCCTCTTCTGTAGTTTCCTGCAGGCAGCCTGTAGTGGGTGGAGCCTGATGAGTCCCTCCCACAGCTCTGTTAATATCACTGCTGCTTTTACAAGTTAATAACTATGTTGGTGAAGGCATTTGGTGCACACAAAGCAGATTTACAATCCTGAATGAAAACGTTTTTGTGCCTGCCAGTTTAGTTTTACTAGGTAATAGACTTAATTTGCCAGCCAATTATATCATTGTGACTAGAAGCGAGTTACCTTTTCAATATCTGCAAGAGAAGACAAGGACTTGCTCTGTAGCACCTCAGGTGCAGTGAAGGCACGCAAATCTTGATGGGAAACATTTTCATCGGTAAATGACACGCTTCCAGAGGGCAGCAACAGGAGAGACCAAGGAGATATGATAAATCCAAGAGCTGCAGGATCAGCTGTACAAAAGAGAAAAAGATAGCAGAGAAAAGACCTTAAAACAAACAGTTTTATTTCTATTTTAGTTTAAAATTATGAGGATATAAATGTTAGAAAAAAAAAAAACAAGATAAGGTTAAGGCAATAGACTCTTGGGCTCTAGCAATTAATCTGGCCAATTCATTCTTACATGCCATTATTGGCCAGGTGATTCTGAGCTACATTTGCTGTTATTTGTACACATATATATTTTAAGAGATTCTAGGTCAGTATTTATGCAGCCAAAGTTGTATTTATGCAGATCAAGTCCAAAGCAGACTATACACTTTACAATGTAATTGTACAATCTCTGTACAATCCCCTGTACAATCAGACAGGCCCTTGCATTACATAAATGATGGTCGATTGTAAAACTAGATTGTATAGTGTATGGTCAGCTTAAAGACCTCCAGGGTGGAAGCCAAAAACTTTTCTGTACGTCCTAATGGGAAAGCTACTAAAATCACAAAACACAACGTAATAACAATTCTGACTCTGAATCTGTGGATGTTTAAAGGAAAACTATCGGGAGAGTAAAATGTAGAGTAGGCGTGCGACACTGAAGCTGTAATGCACCAGTTCTTTAGCATGAGAAGTAAGCGATCACATAGCACCGATCAATCAGTTCCCAATCTTCTCCCTGCAGAGAGCAGCGACTGTCAGTCACCGCTCCCTGTAGGGATCCCCCCCTCCCCTCTCCGATCCTCAAGCGCTGACTGGATGGACAGACAGGGGAGGGGGCAGTGTAAAAGGGAAGCCTACTATATAAGCGTAACTTTCTGTGTCCCTAGTGAAGAGACCTCTGCTCACTTCCTGTTTTGTCTGAAATCAGTCACTTGGAAGGTGAAGGTAAATGTCCTCAATGTCCTGACAGAGGTTCTACATTTTTCCTACTCTACTAAAAATGTGTTTTTGTTGCCATCTGTGTCCCCATTGAGGGAATTTCCCCTCACTACCTGTCCTTTCCAACACCAATCAAATAGACAGATTTTTTTCCCCTCACTTGCAGTTCTGTGAGAGAAAAACTTTTTCAAATGGGGACACAGGCATAGAAAGGTGACAGAGGTTCCAACCTTTCCCAAATCTATTGGCCTTTAACAACAGCTGAGATAACAGCCACAACCAGCGCATTGGTTTTAATGCCAGTGGACACAGACTAACATAGTAAAGAGGAGCAGTAATCCTCGACTATTGTGTAGCACTGAAAAGCACAAAATAGGGTCTGTATATTTAACCGTATGTACCATGTAATGTTTGCCCCCACATTATTATATAATTTAAAACCAAAACATAACAACAAACATCAAAATGATTTGCATCAAACAAATCTCTTATGTGCATTTCTAGAAAACACTGAAAAGAAAATATGTTCATTTTAAAGTGAATCTGTAGTCAGGCTATGAACTTAAATGTTCATGTATTTACATACGATTAGCAGGCAGTGAGTGAGATTTAATACAAGCCTTTACTGATCTCTGTAGCTGCAGGCATTGTGGAGCAAATCCTCCTCAACATTCACAGCAGAAGCACTTTAGTCACCCAAGTCATTTTCTAAGCCTCTGAGTGGGAAGGAAAGAGCGACAGAAAGAGAAATGCCACCCTTTCCCTCACCTTTCCACTCAGAGGGCAACCAGGGGCACCTGGGGTCATACTATGCTATGGAGACCTTTGGTGGGAGTGCATCTGTTCCCAATTACAACCATACTCCCACTGATCCAATCTCCATTTCCAGACTTAGCTTTTTAGGTCTGTCGTGGTGTTATGCACAGGATTAGATGGACTATGTATTACTTAAGGCCAATTTGTGAATGTATCTGTATTTGTACACATACATGTCATAGTTGTATATTAATGTCAATTGATGTACTTTATAAATGCAATAATGCTGTCTTCACAAAACACATCATGAAAGTCTGTATGACGCGAATAGAAAATTGATACTTTCACACAATGTAGCATTATGCAACAATAGCGGCATTTAATCTCTCTTGGGTAAACCAACAGTACAGATACCATATACAAAAATGCTTTATAAAAGGCATTCTGAACAGTATACAGTAAAACATAAAATGTTTTTTTAAATTTCAGATACTTTTTTTTATCTTGCTGTGTTTATTACGATACCATTGCATTATATGAAATGCTTTTGATTTTCTGTTAAATTAGAAATTGTGAGTCTGGAAGAAATTACAAGTCTAGAAGGCTGCCGAGTCACAGCTGGGTAAGTTGAGCTGACTAAAAAAATAACTAGTTATTTTTAAAAAGGAGAAGTATGGGGTTAAGGCTTTTCCCCATAGTTCTCCTTAGGGTAATGGGAGGACACAAACTAGCGTCCTCCCGTCACCCTAGGCTCAGTATACCGCGGTATAGCTACAGCTCGCGGTATACTGAGACACCACAGTTTACCGCAAACTACTGCGGCGTCTCGGTATACTGAGACGCCGCAGCTGAAGCGGATCCCGTCAATTATGTCTGGATCCGCCCAGCTGCGTGAGTAACAGCTGGCTCTGCCTATCTAGAGGCAGAGCCAGCTGTACCCACCCCCTCCCCCATCCGTTCCGCCAGTCAGCGCTGGCGGATTGGAGCAGGGAGGGAGGAATCCAGCCCCTCCCCTGTCACAGCATAGAGCCGTGACAGGATAGGGAGGTGAGGGAAAGCCGGTATGTGTTCGCTCACTTCCCGATATACTGAGCCGACCTGTGACAGTCTCATTGTCACAGGTCGGCTAGAACTATGGAGGTGAGTGAAAAGCACTCACCTCATAGTTCTCCTTTAACAACTTCTGCTGTGAACTGTGAGAATGAACCGCTCCATAGTGCCCGCAAATAACTAACCTAATCTCTCAGAAGTGATACATTGAGTTAATATACACAGGGTTATTCACAAAAGGGTGAAGAGTTTGGAGAAGGCAGGAGAAGCGAACAATCTACGACACAATAGTGGATTCGCAAAAATTCTCCAATTCTGCTCACTTTTAAGTTCAGCTATGTTGTCCTAGATTGTTCACTTCTCCTGCCTTCTCCAAACTCTTCACCCTTTCGTGAATAACCCTGACAATGTCAATATGAGAGAATACTAGCATATAAAGAACAGGCCCAGACTAAACTTCCTGTGTACTGGAATAACTGGTTAACTCACCCTAATGCTTCCTCATTACTTTGAAACTAACTACATGTGGTATAAGTAGACTGGATTGACCAGTCTGAAGTTCTGGCACCTTTTTCCCTTTACTTTCCTGATTTCTTTGCCTTCTTGGTTTATTTTTAATAGTTTTATGAGTTTATGACTCGCATTGTTCATCTGTACTCAAGTACGCAAGTTGACTTTTCTCTTATATTGCTTCTTGAAAGATTTGTCATTCTATGCTTTCATTTGAGCATTGTGAATTACAAGTGGAACATATGGACATCTACTATTTGTTGAAAATACAGTTTTACCTCGGTTCACAAACGTAATTCGTTCCGCAATTCTGGTCGCGAACCGAATTGGTCCCGAACCGAATCAAACTGTGATCACACCGCGATCTCGACTAGAGGAAGCCACGACCACGTGTCAGAGCAGGGAAGATGGCTGCGGTTGTGTTCGTCACCCGATGCGGAGTTCACGAACGGAAGCTAAAGTTTGTCAAACTTCCTGCTCGCGAACCGAATTGTTCGCGAACAGCAGCGTTCGTGATCCGAGGTAACACTGTATATACATATTTGAATGTCCACAGCAACAGTTACACTTTAAAGTGCACATACAGGTGAAACTCGAATAATTAGAATATCGTGCAAAAGTAATTGCAGTAATTGCTGCAAACCAAGTACTGAGTACATATGCATGCTTGTACTTTTCAGAGGTCCGATATTGTTCTATGTACAATCCTTGTTTTATTGATTGCATGTAATATTCTCATTTTCTGAGGTTGTGGATTTGGGGTTCTTGGGGTTTTCATGAGCTGTAAGCCATAATCATCACAATTATGACAGATCACGGCTTGAATTATCTTGCTTTGCATGTAATGAGTCTATCTCATATATTAGTTTCACCTTTTAAGTTGCATTAGTGAAATAAAAGAACTTTGCACGATATTCTAATTATTCGAGTTTCACCTGTACAAGCAATGTTGGTCGACTATTACTAACCAAAGTACAATGAAAGCCAAAGCTGTTTTGTTTTTTTGGAGTAAAAGAGGGTTGTAACCTCTGGCAGCTTTTATTTGCCATTGTGTGCCATTGAGGAGAATTCCCTGCACTTTGTCTGATGGCCATAGCAGGAAGTGAGAGGAAATCCCTCTAAAGTTAGGGAAACCCTGGTGGTAAGCAGGGTCACCAGAACTAATGTCTCCATTGGAAGATTTCCCATCTATTCCTGTTCTGATAACAACCCAAAGTGTGGGATTTTCTTTCACTTTTAATGATAATAGTCACCAGGACAAATAGAGGAAGTAAATCTCCCGCTCTATCCAAAATCAAGAAAAAAAGTGTTGACTTTAGTTACGCTTTAAAATGTAAGGGCTTGACAATTCATTACATGACTAACAATAGGCGAACAATCTATTAAGCAGCAAGTTATTTGCAATATGTTATAGGTTAGGGTTGGTGATATGTGTAAAATTTAAGGTGAGTGATGAGTCTATACATGCACATACTGTTGCAGGGAGGTTTAAGGTGTGCAATTGGGAGTGACTTATTACTTGGATACATATGGGTGTATATCACTATATATTATGTTTTCAATGGTAAATATGTTTTGTAGGTTCATGGATCATCTAGTGTCAGCAGTGACTAAGCAATTCAGAGCCACAGGCTCTGGAACATTTTCTAAAATTACACTCCGTTTAAGGATGTGTGGTCTGCATGTTTTTTGTATAATGCATAAGAGTGATAATGCATTACTTGTGGAAGAGCAGAGAAGATATAAATAGCTTTGTTTTCACACCGAAGTAGTACAAAGTCACACATTTCTTCATCTTCTAAAACAAATGATTACAAAATAA